AAGGGACATCATGCTTGGTATGGTGGAGGGACAGCGCAGGAGGGGAAGGCCCTCTATGAGGTGGACTGATTCCGTGACGGCGTAATGGAGATGGGTGTGTCAGAGACAGTGGGATTGGCACAGGACAGAGCAGAGTTTAGCGCTGTTGTACATAGGGTTGCTATGAGTCGCAAGCGACTCAATGGCACATAACAACAAAAACATGCTTAAAATATGTGAGATGAAGCTTTGCCATCCTTGCCTGAAATGATCACACTGATTGCACTTTTTTAAAGACATATCTATTTATTCTTTTGACCATCCCTGGAATCTTCAGTACTCTTCTCCAACAGCACAGTTCAAAGGCATCAATTCTTCTGTCATCTTTATTTATTGTCCACTTATATATATAACAAGTTACTGGGGGAAAAAAACCAAACCATGGCCCGAATCAAGTGTACCTTAGTCCTCTTACTGACATCATTTGTGCTCAATAATTTGGAGAACTCCCTGACATAGACTTGCCCAGTCAAAACTTTTCCTGATCTCCTGACTGCTGGTTCCAAATGTATTGATTGTGGATCTAAGTAAGGTGAAGTCATTGACAGTTTTAGTCTTTTCTCTGTTAATTATGATGGCCAAGTAGCAAGGACTTTGGTTTTCTTGATATTCAGGTGCAATCCATATTGAAGGCAGCAGTGCTTAACTTTCAGCAGCAAGTTCTTCAAGTCCTCCTGCCAAGCAAGGTTGTTTCATCCACATAACAAAAGTTATTAATGAGTCTTCTTCCAATTCTGATATCACATTTATCTTCATAGAGTCCAGCTTCTCAAATAATGTGCTCAGCATACAGATTAAATAGGTATGGAGTAAGGATACAGCCTTGATGCATACCTTTTTTTAATTTTAAACTGTACAGGTTTCCTTGCTATGTTTGCACAGTAGTCTCTCCGTGTAGGTATAGGTTTCACACAGTTAAGTGTTCTGAGATTCCCATTCTTCTTAGTGTGAGTCACTGTCTGTTATAATCCACAGTGAAATGCTTTCGCATGGTCAATAGATAGACATACTTCTGGCATTCTTTGTTTTCAGGTAGGATCCATCTGATCTCAGAAGTAATATCCCTGGTGCCGTGACATCTTCTAAATACAGCTTGAACTTCTGGCAGTTCCTTGTCTGTGTACTATTCTATCCATTTTTGAATGATCTTCAGTATTTTGCTTGAAATTCTAAAGATGAAAAGGTTAGAAACAAAATCCAAGTTATTTACACCAGTTCAAATAGAGGTACATCTTAACGTTTTATCTACCTTGTAAGACTCCTAGTCAGCAAGAAAGAGAGCAGTTGTAGCTACATGCTACCTCGTTTTATTTGTATTATTTTGTCAAGCAGCATAGTCATGTTATTACTTGGTGATCTTGCATTTATTAAAGTATCTTGTCTGTACTAGTGATTGTTGTTAGGTGCTATTGAATCAGCTCTGACTCAGTGACTCCATGCAAAATAGAATAAAGTCCTGTCCTAATCTGCACCATTCTCACAATCTGCTGGTTTAGCCCATTGTTCTACTCATGATGTCAGTTTGTCGCATTGAATATCTTCCTGTCTTTTGCTAACCCACTACTTTTCTTCTACAATTGACTGACTCCTCCTGATAAGAGGCCTAAAGTATGTGAAACAAAGTTTTACCATCCTTGTCTCAAAAAAAATGCACCCTAGCAATTCTCTGTCTAGGCTCTGTTCCAGTTGTTCTAAATAATCTTCAGCCAGATTGTACTTATGTGATATGAATGATATTGTTCAGGAACTTCCATACATTTTTATATCTCCTTTTTTTTGAATGGGGCAAATATAAATCTCTTCCAGCTAGTTGGACAGGTCTTCTAGATATTTTGGCTTAGGTTAGTGAGCACGACCAGGACTTCTGTTCTTATAATTCTCTAAATTCCAAGAGCCTTCTTTTTTGCCAGTACCTTTCTTCAGTACAACCTGGACTTCTCCTTTCAGTACTTTGGTTCTTGATCATGTGCTTTCTGGAATAGTCCTGTGTTGATGAATTGGATGAATTCTTTTGGTAGCGTGACGTTCCTTTCAACTGTTTTTGAAGCTTCCTGAATTATTGAGTGTTGGTAAAAATTTTGGGGCATAGAGGGACAGGCTACTGATTGGATCTCTCTTCCCCTAGTGACATTGGGGGAAGGTCAGACTGTGATACCCACACTATGCCATTTTTGCAAGACGTAAGAAGAATTGTTGTTGTTGTTAGAAGTCATCATGTCAAGTATGACTCATAGTGACCCTGTGAACAACAGATCTGAACCCTATCCTCACTTGTGTCATCCTTATTGTCCCCAATACATTTTAGTCTGTTGCTGCAGTCACTGTATCATTTCATTTGATTGAGGATCTTTTGTTGACCATCCACCTTTCCACTCGTGATGTCCCTGTTCAAGAAATGGCCTTGAAACCTTGCTGTCCTTGCCTCAAAGGAGCACTAAAGTAATGTAATTATTTAATATTTTTCTCTTGAAATAGATGTGCATTTGGATTTGGAAGACCACCTGGCAAAATTTATGAAGACAGAAGAGGCCATTATATACTCATATGGATTTGCAACAATTGCTAGTGCTATTCCTGCTTACTCTAAGCGAGGGGACATTGTGTTTGTGTAAGTAACTATTTCCTAAATTTCTAATCAGAATTTCTTTGGAAATAATATTGATCCTCTTAGAGAATTTTTTGATGTGAGGATATTTGCCTGAAGTACTTCGGGTTTTTATAAAAATAAAGGTATAATAGTCCCAAGTAATTTTACAAAATTTTTAGACTTTGATTAAAAGGAAAGCTCTGGTGTTGTGGCCCATAGCAAGTTGCTCTGCTAACCTAAATGTGTTCATTTAAATCTACCGAGGAAGAAAAACGAGCAGTCCCCTTCTGTATACTTGACAGCCTTGGAAGCCCAATAGAATGTGAGCTATGAATTGTTTCCAAGTCAATGACAGTGAGTTTTGAATTTCTATTAGAAAAAATACTTATGTGTTAGTATAGCATTGTCTACTGTTACGATTTATTGATGTCTAGATCGCAAACCAAGATGTTCCTTAGAGGAAAAGATGATGAAACTTCATCTCACATACTTTGGGCATATATTGTAAAGAGGGGGCTTGTCCTTGGAAAAAATACATCATGCCAGGAAAGGTAGAGGGTCAGAGAAGGAGAGTAAGAACTTCCAACAAGATGAATTGACACAATGACTGTAACAATGGACTTCAGCATGTAGGAAATGGTAAGGAAGACAAGGGTTGTTAAATGTTCGTATCTATTGTTGTTCATTAAGTTGTTATGAGTCTTAGTCAACACAGTGGCAACTGATAGCAAAAACATGTATGTGTATGTGTCTGTGTATATATGTATTAGATCTGTTTATGTCTGTTTAGCAAAGGGAACTCTGGTGGCTTAGTGGTAAGGAGTTGTACTGCTAAGATAAGAGGTTCAAATACACCAGTTGCTCCTTACGAGAAAGATGGACATTTTCCTCCTCTGCGAGATACAGACTCTGAAGACTAGCTGGAGGGTCAGTTATGAGTTACTTCCAACTCAGTGGCACATAACAATAATATTTAGCAAAAATATGTATTTCTTTTCTCTGAAAAAATATATATATTTGTGTGTGTGTGTCCAAGGAGAAGAATACATGGCAAAGGCATCCTAATGTATACATATAGAGACAAATTATGTGTGTTGGAGGGACAATGACAAATTGTGTGTGTGTTCAAGGAGAAAAATACATGGCAAAGGCATCCTAATTTATACATATAGAGACAAATTATGTGTGTTGGGGTGTGTGTCTTGTCTGTCTGTCTGTAGGGAGCACTAGTGGCCTTGTGTGTAAGGAGTTGTGCTGTCAGCCCAAAGGCAAGTGGTTCGAATGCACTCACTACACCAGTGGAGAAAGATGGATGATTTCTTGCTGAGCAGTTTACAGTCTAAAAACCTACTGAGGGGTCAAGTATGAGTTGGTTCCAACATGGTGGTATAGGACAAGAAAGAACAACAGTATATGCACATACATACATAGGTGTGTGAGCCTTTACCTTGACGAAGTTGGATCCTGGTCGGTAAGTGTTTGTAATTTACTAGAAAATGGGGTAAACTATTTGGATATTTCTAAATTTTGTTAGCAGTCAAGTATAACCTGATTAACTGTGTCTGATCTCATTGACAATCAGCCTGAGTGGGAAGCCTCTGTGTAGGCAAATAGAATCTGGTGGGCAGGCCTTTGTATTTAAAATTTGTTTGGGCCTGTGTGCCATAGACCTGAGGGCCTGCTATTGATTATGTTTAGAAAGAATGTTGTTATAAGTGGTACAGCACTTGTCTGTCAGTTTGTTGTACTGCAGTTACTTGGGGTTGCCGTGATACTGAAATCTTTACCACTGGTGTGTCAAATTCCAAAAGGATTTCCCATCATGGATGGGTTTTGGTGGAGTTCCCTGATTAAGACAGACTAGGAAACAGGATGGACCATCTATTTCCTAAATAAAAGACTTTTGAAAACCCTATGAACACTAAACAAAGAGTGTATTTATGGTACTGTAGATGTAGAGCCACAGTTTGTTGTGATCCACACAGTCTAACACCTTTGCATAATCAATGAAACACAGATAGACATTCCTCTGGGACTCCCTGCTTTCAGCTAAGATCCATCTGAAATTAGCTATAATATCCCTAGTACCATGACCCCTTCTAAGCCCCGCCTGCACTTTTGGTAGTTTTCTGTTGATGTGCTGTTCCAGTTGTTTTTGTATAATCTTTAGCAGAAATCTCACTTACATGTGATATTAATGATATTGTTCAATAATTTCTACACTCTTTCGGATCACCTTTCTTTGGAATGGGAACAAATACAGATCTCTACTGGTCAGTTGGCCAAGTGGTTGTCCTCCAGATTTCTTGGCATAACTTGATAAGCACATCAAGGGTAGCATCTGTTAGTTGAAATATGTCAATTGGTATACAGTTAATTCCTGGGGCCTTAGTTTTTGTCAGTTCTTTCAAAGAAATTTCTACTTCTTCCTTTATCTCCATAGGCTCTTGCGCATAGGTTGTATCAAGAACACTTGATCATGCTAATGCGAAACTTGTGCTTGGACCAGGAGGCAGTCATCAGAACAGAGCAAGGAAACTTTGCATGGTTCAAAATTGGGAAGGTTGTATGCCAGGGATGTGTCCTGTCTCCCTACCTTTCAATCTTTATGCAGAACTGTTTATCTGGGAGGCTGGGCTCTATGAGGAGAAATGTGACATCAGGCTTGGAGGAAGACTCATCAGCAATCTGCAATATGCAGATGACACAACCCTGCTTGCTGAAACTGAAGAGGACCTGAAGTGCTTGCTGTGTAAGGTCAGGGACTATAGTCTTCAGTGTGGATTAAAGCTCAATATCAAGAACACAAAGATTCTCACCACTGGGCCAATAGGCAGCATCATGATGGATGGCGAAAAGATTGAGATTGTTCACAGCTTTAGTTTGCTTGGCTCCACAGTCAACCTTCTTAGCACCAACAGCCAGGAAATTAAAAGGCATATTGCGATGGAAAAGTCTGCAGTTAGAGACCTCTCTAAAGTACTGAAGAGCAACGATATCAGTCTGGAGACTAAGGTGTACCTGATATAGACCATGGTCTTTGCCATCACTTGCTATTTTTTAGAGAGCTGGACACTGACTAGGGATGATAGAAGGAGTATTGATGCCTTTGAGCTGTAGTGTTGGGGAAGAGTATTGAATATACCATGGATTGCTAAGAGAACGAACAGGTTTGTCCTGAAGAGGGTGAAGCCAAGCTATCCATTGGAGGCAAGGATTCTGAAGCTTCGTTTGACATACTTTGGGCATGTTTCAAGTTGGGACCAGTCCTTGGGAAAGGATACTATGCTTGGGAGGGGGGAAGGACAGAACAAGACAGGAAGACCCTTGATGAGATGGATTGATTGAGTGACTGGGATAATGGGTAGTAGATATGTCAGAGACAGTAAGATTGTCACAGGATAGAGCATGGTTTAGGACTGTTGTACATAGGGTTGCTATGAATTGCAAGCGACTCGACAGAACATAACAACAACAACAACAGAGGTAGAGCCCAGATTGTAAGTTGAAATGAGGAAAATCAATAACAAACATCATTTAACAGTTGGTACATGGAATGTTCTTAGCTTGAATGTTAGAAAATTGGATTTTGTTAGAAATGAAATGGAACACATGAATATTGACAATAGTAGGCATTAGTGAGATGCACTGGACCAGCTAAGGCCACTTTGAGTGAAAAACAGAAGAATGGTGTTGCTTTCATAGTCAAAAAGCCAATTTTAAGCTCTATCCTGAAATACAGTGTTGTGAGTGATAGTATACATATGCATAAAGGGAAGACCCTTTAACACAACTATTAAGTATATGCTCCTACATCTGTTGCCAAAGAGGAAACAATTCAGAATTTTTACCAGATTTTGTAGTGTGAAGTTGACCAAACATGCAATCAGGATGCGTTAATGATAATTGGTGACTGGAATGCAAAAGTAGGAAGCAGTGATGAAGGAACACTAGTTGGAAAATATGGGCTTGATGATAGGAATGAGGTTGGAAATAGAGTGATTGAATTTTGTATTTATAATGATTTAATCATTCCACATACTTTTTCTGAAAGACATAAAAGACAACTTTACATGTGGATTTCACCCATTGGGCTGCATGGGAATCAGATTGACTGTATTTATGGAAGAAATGGTTGGAGAAGTTCAACATCAGCAGTCAAAACTAGGCCAGGGACAGACTGTGGGTCAGATCATCAATTTACTCATATGCAGGTTTAAATTGAGGTTGAAGAAAATGAAAATAAGTCAAAGAATCCAAGATATGATCTTGAATCAATTCCATTGGAAGTTCATGATCATCTTAAGAATAGGTTTGAGACATTGAACACCAATGATAGAAGACCAGATGAGTTGTGGGATGATAGCAAGGATATCATCCATGAAGAAAGCAAAAGGTCGTTACAAAAACAGAAGAGAAAGGAAAAAAATGAAATGGATGTCAGGAGAGACTCTAAAGATTGCACTGGAACATTAGGAAGCCAAATCTAAAGGAAACACTGTTGAAGTGGAAGAGCTGAACAGTTTCAGCGGGCAGCTTGGGAGTCCAAAGGAAATTATTATAATGGATTGTGCAGAGAGCTGGAATTGGAGAATAAAAAGAGAAGAACTCGCCCTGTATTTCTCAAGCTGAAAGAACTGATAAACAAATTTAGGTCTTCTCAATGCTGAAAGATGCTATGGGCAGTGCATTGAATGACTCAGAAAGCATCAAAAGAAAATGGAGGGAATACACAGAGTCATTCTACCAGAATTGATTGACATTGAAAAATTTCAGGAAGTACCATTTGAACAGAAGCCAGTGGCAATTAAAGAGGAAGTGGAAGCTGGATTGAAGGCATTGACAAAAAAGTAAGGCCCCAAGAATTGATGGGATACCAATTGACTTAATAGATCGCAGTCTTGGATGCACTCATCAGTTTATGCCAGGATATTTGGAGGATAACTGTCTGACCAATCGATTGGAAGAGGTCTGTATTTATTCCTATTCCCAAGAAGGGTGATCCAACTGAATGTGGAAAT